ACCCTGATGCCATCAAGCTGTCAAGGGGTGGAACCCATCTATATTTCTGGAGTGACAGGAGGATCCCAAGAGTTGACTGTGCTGGAGGCTGAAATCAGCCTGACTGGGAGGGAATGGCAAAAGCACCCTATTGTGACTGGTCCAGAGGCTCCATGCATCCTCACCATAGACTACCTCAGGAGAGGGTACTTCAAAGACCCAAAACGGTACTGATGGGCTTTTGGTATTGCTGCTTTGGAGACTGAGGAAATTGAGCAGCTGTCCACCTTGCCTGGTCTCTCAGAGGATCCTTCTGTTGTGGAGTTGCTGAAGGTCAAAGAACAACAAACGCCAATCACGACCACAACAGTGCACCAGCGGCAATATCTCACCAACCGGGACTCCCTGATTCCCATCCATCAGCTGATCCGTAGACTGGAGAGTCAGGGAGTGATCAGCAGGACCCGCTCGCCCTTTAATAGCCCCATATGGCCAGTGCGAAAGCCTAATGGATAGTGGAGACTAACAGTAGACTATCGTGGCCTGAATGAAGTCACACCACCATTGAGTGCTGCCGTACCGGACATGCTAGAACTTCAGTATGAACTAGAGTCAAAGGCAGCCAAGTGGTATGCCACGATTGATATTGCCAATGCATTTTTCTCCATTCCTTTGGCAGCAGAGTGCAGGCCACAGTTTGCTTTTACTTGGAGGGGCATCCAGTACACGTGGAACCGACTGCCCCAGGGGTGGAAACACAGCCCTACCATTTGCCATGGACTGATCCAGACTGCACTGGAACAGGGGCAAGCTCCAGAACACCTGCAATACATTGATGACATTATTGTGCAGGGCGATACAGCGGAAGAAGTCTTTGAGAAAGGGAGGAAAATAATCCAAATCCTGCTGAAAGCCGGTTTTGCCATAAAATGGAGTAAGGTCAAGGGACCTGCACAGGAGATTCAATTTCTGGGAATAAAATGGCAAGACGGACGTCACCAGATCTCCACAGATATGATCAATAAGGTAACAGCAATGTCTCCACCAACTAATAAGGAAGAAACGCAAGCTTTCTTGGGTGCTGTGGGGTTCTGGAGAATGAACATCCTAAATTACAGTTCGATTGTAAGCCCTCTCTATCATGTGACCCAGAAGAAAAATTATTTTAAATGGGGTGCTGAACAACAACAAGCCTTTGAGCAAATTAAACGCGAGATAGTTCATGCAGTAGCTCTTGGACCAGTCCGGACCTGGCCAGATGTAAAAAAATGTACTATACACTGCGGCTGGGGAGAATGGTCCTACCTGGAGCCTCTGGCAGAAAGCTCCAGGGGAGACTCGAGGTCGACCCCCCGGCTTTTGGAGTCGGGGATACAAAGGATCTAAGGCCAGCTATACCCCAACTGAGAAAGAGATACTGGCAGCCTATGAAGGGGTTCGAGCTGCTTCAGAAGTGATTGGCACTGAAGCACAGCTCCTCCTGGCACCCCGGCTGCCCGTGCTGGGCTGGATGTTCAAAGGCAGGGTCTCCTCCACACATCATGCAACCAATGCTACATGGAGTAAGTAGGCTGCACTAATTACACAATGAGCTTGAGTAGGAATTCCCAGTTGTCCAGGCATTCTAGAAGTCATCATGGACTGGCCAGAGGGCAAAGATTTTGGAATGTCACCAGAGGAGGAGGTGATGCGCGCTGAAGGGGCCCCACCATATAATAAACTGTCAGAAAGTGAAAAACAGTATGCCTTGTTTACTGATGGGTCCTGTCCTATTGTGGGAAAGCATCGGAGATGGAAGGCTGCTGTATGGAGTCCTCAACAATAAGTTGCAGCAATTGCTGAAGGAGAGGGTGAATCGAGTTGGTTTGCCGAGGTGAAAGCCATCCAGCTGGCCGTGTATATTGCTGAACAAGAAAAGTGGCCAGTACTTTATACTGACTCATGGATGGTGGCAAATGCCCTGTGGGGGTGGTTGCAGCAAGAGAAGCAGAGCAACTGGCAACGCAGAGGTAAACCCATCTGGGCTGCTGCAATGTGGCAAGACATCGCTGCCTGGGTGCAAACTTGGTGGTGAAGGTATGCCATGTAGATGCCCATGTACCTAGGAGTTGGGCCACTGAGGAACACCAAAACAAACAACAAATGGATAAAGCTCCTAAGATTGAAGTGGCTCAGAGGGACTTAGATTGACAACATAAGGGTGAATTATTTTTGGCCCGGAGGGCCCATGACACTTAAGGCCATCAGGGCAGAAATAAACATACAGATGGGCTCATGATCAAGGGGGGGACTTAACAATGGACACTATTGCCCAGGTTATTCATGACTGTGAAACATCCTGCAATTAAGCAAGCCAAATGGTTAAAGCCTCTTTGGTATGGAGGACGATAGTTGAAGTATAAATATGGGGAGGCCTGGCAGATTGACTATATCACACTGCCACCAACCTGCCAAGGCAAGCGCCATGTGCTTACCATGGTGGAAGCAACCACCGGGTGGCTGGAAACATACGCTGTGCCCCATGCCACTGCCCGGAACACCATCCTGGGCCTTGAGAAACAGATTTTGTGGCAGCATGGCACCCCAGAGAGGACTGACTCAGACAATGGGACTCATTTCCGGAATAACCTTATAGACATTTGGGCCAAAAAGCATGGTATTGAGTGGGTACATCACAACACCTACCATGCACCAACCCCTGGGAAAACTGAACAGTACAATGGGCTGTTAAAACTACACCGAGAGCAATGGGTGGTGGAACTTTCAAGCACTGGGGGACACACTTCCCAAAGGCCACCTGGTTGGTCAACACCAGAGGATCTGCCAACAGGGCTGGTCCAGCCCAGTCAGAACTTTTACATATTGTAGAGGGGGACAAAGTTCCCATGGTGCATATGAAGAATTTGCTGGGGAAGACAGTCTGGGTTATTCCTGCTTCAGGTAAAGGCAAACCCACTCGTGGGATTGCTTTTGCTCAGGGAACTGGATATACTTGGTGGGTAATGTGGGAAGTCCGATGTATACCTCAAGGGGATTTGATTTTAGGGGAAAACAGCCAGTGAACTCAATTGTATGCTGTTGCCTGCTATGTAATACTTTTATAGCCCACCAACTAGATGTCTTCAGATCACCAGTGACTGGCCCCGACTTCCCTCCGACCATTATCCCAACAGAGAATGAACTTCGATAGAACCAGATGAGTTCTGTGGTAAAGGAACGATCAGCATCAACAGGCAATGATCCAACACTGCACACAGCCTCTCCTGCCCCAAAAGACTGTTACATGAGATGGAATCCAACATCACGGACCCAATGGACTCAGCAGCTTCATAGGGATTGGTCCATGCATTAAGGAATGATCTGTGTGTGTGTGTGTGTGTGTGTACGTGTGTACGTGTGTACGTGTATATACATATATATATATATATAAAAAAGAGCGATGGTATACTGAAAACGTGGGATCTGAGCATGACGTGAATGGTATGGAATAAGGGGTGGATACTGTCCTGAGCTCAGCAGTAGCAGTCACTTTTTTCTTCTTAGTTGCTGCTTCAGTGCTGTGTTTTTGACTTTCGGCCTGGGAACAGCACTGATTTCTAGTTACTGCTCAAATGTTTAGCCTGACCAAGGACTTTCTGAGTCTCATGCTTTGCCAGGGAGGAGGGGAAGCCAGGAGGAAGCAGAGACAGGACACCTGACCCAAACTAGCCAAAGAGGTATTCCATACCACAGCACGTCATGGCCAGGGTGTAATTGAGAGTTACCCGGAAGGGCTAGTTCACTGCTCGGTCGAGCTGGGTATTGCCGGGTGGTATTGTACTCTTTTCCCTTGTTATTTCCCTTATCATTATTATTACTGGTGGTAGGAGCAGTGGTTTGTGTTATACCTTAGTTACTGGGCTGTTCTTATCTCAGCCCATGGGAGTTACATTCTTTTGATTCCCCCGTCCCTCCGGGAGTGGGAGGGAGGAGGTGGGGGGAGAAAGGGGAGAGTGAGTGAGCTGCATGGGTTATTGGCTGTACTTAAACCACGACATTTGGTTTTGTTTGATTGCTATTGAGGGGAGGGCTATTGAGTGGGAGGGGCATTTGAGGGGTTTTTTATTTGGTTTTTGGTCAGTTGTTTTATGGGGTTTTGTTTTGTTGGTTGGTTGGGGATTTTTTGGGCAGGGTGTTTTTGGTTGGTTTGTTGCTGGTTTTTTTGCTCTTTTCCAAGATGTTAAGGTCAGAGTTTATTCCTGGAGTTTATTCCTGGATTACTTCTAGAATTCCTTTATCTAGAATAGATCTCCCCACAACCAGCCTGCCAAAACCAGGACAGTAGATCTGCCTCGATCCAGAAGTGTAAAGTCACTTGGAACTCCGTTATGGGTGAAAGGCGTTGCTAAAATAAACATAGATTTCAGCTTTCTATTTAAAAATTAAGTCTTCTAGCACTGTGAGTCTGAAAGTATTATGTGAGTGCATCATGTTCAGGCTAAGAACCCAAGTGAAAATACACCCAAATGCATTAACACCCCATTCCCTTCCTCCCTTCAGAATGTAATTTAGGATACTTGCTAGCCAATCTGGTTGGGCAGAAAAAGAGAGAAAACATTATGTCTAGCTCAGTAGTCTTCTGATGTTTGGGTTGGTAATATGATTATGAGTGTCATGGGGCCATAAGGTGCAGAAAACAGTACTGAAGACTCCCTTGTTCATGGAGTGAACATGCCTGCAGAGTGAACATGCCTGCACATACCTGCATAGATGTCAGTACTTGTGTTCTTTCATTGTCTGACTTTAATTAGATTACTGACTAACAAAAGAAGTAGCAGAAGAGGACATTACCACCTAATCCCAAATCCAGACTTCCGTGAGGCTTGAAAACATGAAAATTACATTTCTGTCCTATATCGTGAAAGTGTGACTGAAAACATAAATCTGATCTCCTTTCTACTGTCCTGTGATGAGGTGAGCTACATGTTAAGTAGAGCTGAGACACTGTGGGATGGTATTTGAAGATGCATATAAAATTTTACCTGTATGATTTGAAAACTGAACAGAGTTCACCGTATCAACTTCAAATCCCAAAACCTGTAACAGAACACAGGAATATTTTTTTTAATAACACGTTTGTTAATACATCATCAAAATCACAAAAACACAAGAAAGGATTCTTATTTCACAGTGCAGATTTAGAAATCTTAAGTGTTGGTTTAAAATGAAAGCTGAGTCAACATACAAAAGCCGTAGTGAGGAATAATGTAGGTACCCAGACTGAGCCTTCCTGCAGACATGCGGCCGTGCAGGTCTCTGGCTGCAGTAAATGCCTCAGCCCGGCACTTGTACTGGATGGAGCCAGTGGCACTGCTTGTGTGCGGTGTGAGTGAATAAATGATCTGCTCAGGCAGGCGGCTGAACTGAGGGAGGACGTAGAAAGGCTGAGAGCCATCAGAGAATGTGAAAGTGAAATACATCGGTGGAGCCACACCCTAAGGCAAGGGAAGTGGTTGAACAAGTGATGGATTCCCTTCCCTCCTACCATCAGATAGAAGGAATGAACTTAAGGGACAAGGAGGTATGGAGGGAGGTCCCTCCTCGGAGAGGTAAGCAAAAACCCTCGCATTCCCTTTCTCCCTCCCAGTTGCCCTTGAGTAACAGGTATGAGGTCTTGGAACTACAGGGCCAGGTAAATGGAGATGGAGGGGTAAATCTATCTAGTGAGTCACCTAGGGCTTGTCACTCACCCCCATGCCTTAGAACTTCCTCAAAGAAGAAGAAAAGAAGAGTAATTGTGGTGGGTGACTCCCTTCTGAAGGGAACAGAATGGCCCATTTGTCGACCAGATCCATCCCACAGGGAAGTCTGCTGCCTACCTGCGGCTCAGATTAGAGATGTTAAAAGGAAACTCTCTGATCTGGTGCAGCCCTCTGACTACTATCTGCTGCTGGTTTTTCAGGTGGCAGTGATGAAATTATTACAAGGAGGGCAAGGGTAATGAAGAGAGACTTCAGGGCCCTGGGACAGCTGGTTAGAGGGTCTGAAGCGCAAGTGGTGTCTGCCTCCATACCTGTTACAAGCAAGGGTGAAGAGATAAATAGGAAGAGTCTGCAGATTAATGTATGGCTACGTGACTGGTGCCAAAGGCAGGGTTTTGGGTTTTTCAATCATGGGCTGCTATATGAGACACCTGGTTTGCTGGTAGCAGGTGGGATACACCAGTCCCAGAGGGAAAAGGTTTTTGGGGCAGGAGTTAGCAGGGCTCATTGACAGGGCTTTAAACTAGATATGAAGGGGAAAGGGGAGATAAGTGGGCCTGTTAGGGACAAGCCCAAGAGAAACATGCTAGGGCTTGAAGGATGGCTGACTAGGGAGGACTCTCAATCTATTGCTTCATTTGAGGGAAAGGATAGTTGTTTAGACCCTGTCCTGAAGGGGAAAAAGGTACCAGGGCAAGAGTTAGCAGAGCTCACTCACAGAGCTTTAGGTTAGATTCAAAGTGTGAGGGGGTTGTAGCTGGGTTTGAACTAGTGGGGCATTGTTCTAGTATTAATGAAGACCAGAAGGCCTCCCACCTCCCAGGGGTGCCACTAGCGTGCTCTGCTTGCTCCCTGAAATGCCTGTACACCAATGCACGCAGCATGGGGAATAAACAGGAGGAGTTAGAAGTCTGTGTGCGGTCTAAAGGTTATGACCTGGTGGCAGTTACAGAGACATGGTGGGACAGCTCACATGACTGGAATGTGGCCATGGATGGCTATGTCCTTTTTAGGAAAGATAGGTCAGCAAAGCGAGGTGGTGGAGTTGCTCTTTATGTGAAAGAGCGACTACAATGTATTGAGTTCTGTCCAGGGGCAGATGGGGAGCAAGTGGAAAGTCTGTGGGTACGAATTAAGGGACAGGCTGGTACGGGTGATACAGCTGTGGGGGTCTATTATAGACCTCCTGATCAGGATGAAGGAGTTCATGAGGCTTTCTACAGGCAACTGAAAGCAGCCTCACAACTACATGCCTTGGTCCTCATGGGGGATTTTAACTACCCCGATATTTGCTGGAAGACTTACACAGCCAATCACTCACAGTCTAGGAGGTTCCAGTGCATTGATGATAACTTCTTAATGCAAATGGTGGACGAACCAACTAGGAGAGGAGCGCTGCTGGATCTAGTACTCACCAACAAGGAGGGTCTGGTTGAAGCGGTGATGGTCAATGGCAGCCTTGGCTGCAGTGACCATGAGATGGTGGAGTTTAGGATCCTGTGTGGGAGGAATAGAATACCTAGCAAGGCCACATTTCTGGATTTCCGAAGGGCCAACTTTGGCCACTTCAATCAATTGCTAAGGGAAGTCTCATGGGAAAGGGTACTAGGTGGTAAAGGGGCTCAAGATAGTTGGTCAGCATTCAAGGACCACTTCTTCCAAGCTCAGGATCAGAGTATCCCAATGGGTAGGAAGTCAAGTAGGGGAGCCAGGAGACCAGCATGGTTAAACAAGGAACTGCTGAGCAAACTCATGCGGAAAACGAGAATCTATGGATTATGGAAGGAGGGGCTGGCCACTTGGGAGGAATATAGGACAGTTGTCAGAGGATGTAGAGAGGCAATTAGGACAGCTAAGGCCTCCTTGGAACTTAATCTTACAAGTCGGGTTAAGGACAATAGAAAGGGCTTCTTCAAACACATAGCAAATAAAACTAACACAAGAAGCAGTATAGGCCCACTGCTGAACGAGGTGGGTGCCCTGGAGACAGAGGATATAAAGAAGGCAGAGGTGCTGAATGCCTTCTTTGCCTCTGTCTTTACTCCTGCAGACCCTCCCCAGGGAACCCAGATTCCTATAGCCCCGGAAGGAGTCAGGATAAAGGAGGAGTTTGCTTTGGTGGATGAGGATTGGGTTAGGGATCAGTTAAGCAATCTGGACATCTATAAATCGATGGGTCCGGATGGAATACACCCACGGGTGCTGAGGGAGCTGGTGGAGGTCATTGCTGGGCCACTCTTCATCATCTTTGGTAAGTCGTGGGAAACAGGAGAGGTGCCTGAGGATTGGAGGATGGCAAATGTCACTCCAGTCTATAAGGGTAAGGAGGACCCGGTTAATTATAGACCAGTCAGCCTTACCTCCATCCCTGGAAAAGTGATGGAACAACTTATTCTTGACACCATCTCTAGACGTATCAAGGATAAGGGGGTCATTAAGAGCAGCCAACATGGTTTTACCAAGGGGAAGTCATGTTTGACCAACCTTATAGCCTCTTATGAGGAATTAACTAGGTGGATGGATGATGGTAGAGCGGTAGATGTGGTTTTTCTTGATTTCGGTAAGGCATTTGATACTGTCTCCCACAGCATCCTCATAGATAAGCTAAGGAAGTGTGGGCTTGATGATCAGGTAGTGAGGTGGATCAAGAACTGGTTGAAAGGAAGAAGGCAGAGAGTTGTGGTTAATGGGGCAGAATCTAGCTGGAGGTCTGTGACTAGTGGAGTCCCTCAGGGGTTGGTGCTGGGACCAGTGCTGTTTAATATTTTCATCAATGACCTGGATAAGGGAACTGAGTGTACCCTCAGCAAGCTCGCTGATGATACTAAACTGGGAGGAGTGGCTGACACACCAGAGGGCTGTGTTGCCATTCAGCGAGACCTGGACAGGTTGGAGAGTTGGGCGGAGAGGAACTTGATGAAATTCAACAAGGGCAAGTGTAGATTCTTGCATCTGGGGAAGAACAACCCCATGTACCAGTATAGGTTGGGGGTTGACCTGCTAGACAGTAGTGAAGGGGAAAGGGGCCTGGGGGTCCCGGTGGATAGGAGGATGACCATGAGCCAGCAATGTGCCCTTGTGGCCAAGAAGGCCGATGGCATCCTAGGGTGCATTAGAAAGGGTGTGGTTAGTAGGTCAAGAGAGGTTCTCCTCCCCCTCTACTCTGCCTTCGTGAGGCTGCATCTGGAATATTGTGTCCAGTTCTGGGCCCCTCAGTTCAAGAAGGACAGGGAATTGCTTGAAAGAGTCCAGTGCAGAGCCACAAAGATGATTAAGGGAGTGGAACATCTCTCTTATGAGGAGAGGCTGAGGGAGCTGGGTCTCTTTAGCTTGGAGAGGAGGAGACTGAGGGGTGACCTCATCAGTGTTTACAAATATGTAAAGGGTGAGTGTCAGGATGATGGAGCTAGGTTTTTTTCAGTGATGTCCAGTGATAGGACAAGGGGCAATGGGTGTAAACTGGAGCATAGGAGGTTCCATGTGAACATCAGGAAAAATTTCTTTACTGTGAGAGTGATAGAGCACTGGTTGCCCAGGGGGGTTGTGGAGTCTCCTACATTGGAGATATTCAAGGCCTGCCTGGACAAGTTCCTGTGTGATGTACTCTAGGTTACCCTGCTCTTGCAGGAGGGTTGGACTAGATGATCTTTTGAGGTCCCTTCCAACCCTTGGGATTCTGTGATTCTGTGGTACATTCAGCATAAACAAAAAATGCAGTACTTTCCTACAGCAGTGAACACGGAACAAAAGCGACATTGGAAACAGCATCAGAAAAACAGGGTTCTGGATCCGCTGGCTAGAGTCCATCTGGAGATAAGGATGGAGAGACTGGTCCAGCAGCAGGCACCAAAGACCTGAAGAAAGCCTTGGCTAATCTTTCTTAGCAAGAAAAGCAGTCTAAATTTCAAGGTTCTAAAAGAATGCAAAATATGGAGGGAAGATGAGAAAATGAACATGAGCCGGCAGTGTGCGCTTGCAGCCCAGAAAGCCAACCGTATCCTGGGCTGCATTAAAAGGAGCGTGACCAGCAGGTCGAAGGAGGTGATCCTGCCCCTCTACTCTGCTCTTGTGAGACCTCACCTGCAGTATTGCGTGCAGTTCTGGTGTCCTCAGGATAAAAAGGACATGGAACTGTTGGAACAAGTCCAGAGAAGGGCTACGAGGATGATCAGGGGACTGAAGCACCTCCCGTATGAAGACAGGCTGAGGAAGTTGGGGCTGTTCAGCCTGGAGAAGAGAAGGCTGCATGGAGACCTCATAGCAGCCTTCCAGTATCTGAAGGGGGCCTATAGGGATGCTGGAGAGGGACTCTTCATTAGAGACTGTAGTGACAGG